GCTGGATCCCTCCCAAGCCTCATATCGTTAGCCTGGTACCCTAGGTGTTAACTGAGGAGACTAAACAGAACACATCTTTATATTTCCTAGTCCCAGAAATTTAAGTTTTTCAAATAGTCTAGGTGGGCAATTTGGAATGCTTCTAATTCTGATGTCATTTTGCAAAATCGTTTTTTAGAGTGAGAGCTTTCACAGCAGGAAAATCCTCTTTACCTTGTTCCTCCGATTTACTGTGGTGGAAATGTCTCTTGACACTAATAGGTGTTCTGAGAAGCATTTCAACATGTAAGTTTCAGCGCAGTACACAGTTTGGAATGGTATGCATGGCTTTCTTCCTCTTACTTCTGTCATTCTGTTACAGGATTCCAGGGCAGGAGGAAAAGAGAAACTGAGACAGGAAAGTTAAAACAAGGGCAAACTGTGTGGGCAATTTGAGGCCAGCTTGTAACTAGCAAGCCATTATCTTCCCAGCCAAGGACATGAGAACAAATGGTTAAAAAACCTCTCTAGTGTGAGAATGCAGAAAGGGAAGGGGGAAAAGGGAAAGGAAAAAAGGGCAGTTTTACTTCCTAAGCAGAGAAGCCAGCAGTCTTAAGACTTGGTATGATAAAGTTGCCAGGTGCTTATGAATTCTAGGAAGGCCACAACAAAGTAAAAAAAAAAAAAAGGAGAGGGAATGGGACTTTGAGAATTAATCTGTACCAAAATATTCAGTAAATGAATTTTGAAACCTATAGACCATGGGTATACAACACCTCGGACCCGCACCCAACCTGCTTTTCAGATTAGCTAAGAGCCTGTTTGTGCTTCGTAAACCAAATGTATAGGTTTGCCTGCTTGCTTTGCTTTTGCAATAAAGGTGCATGCTTTAATTAATTGACTTTTCACAACGCAGTCAAGGTCTCTCACTTAAATTCATCTATATGCAAAGACTAGGATCTAGGTTGGGAACAGCCCTCTCCCACTGACTGAGGGGGCTGTCCACTAGCACCTCTCTGGTGATGGTGAGAGGTGCCTCTAACACAGGGGTGGGCAAACTTTTTGACTCAAGGGCCACAATGGGTTCTTAAACTGGACCGGAAGGCCGGAACAAAAGCATGGATGGAGTGTTTGTGTGAACTAATATAAATTCAAAGTAAACCTCATTAGATAAAAGGGTACGGTCTTTTATTTCAATAGTTTTATTCATTTCAAATGGGCCGGACCCGGCCCGAGGGCCGTAGTTTGCCCACGGCTGCAACAATTCTTATATAGTACCGTACAGCAGGAAAGATAATAAAGTGGAGAAAAAATGTCTTTAATAACATTTTCTCTAAGGATCAATAACATTGTGTTGCCTAACTGATTTTAAAAGCTTTATTCTGGGCTCTATCTGGACATTTAATAGGATGGATAAGACTTATGAGTGCTCCCTCACTAGTGTGTAAGAAATAAACCAGGAACTGTTCATAAATTGTTTATTTTATACTGAAGGGTACAGGGTGAAAGAGACCTTTAGGATTCATTTGGGGTATTCCCTGATTTCTGGAAGGAATGTGACTTGATTGTTGTATTAACTCAGTATCTAAAATCTGCAAGGAAAGAAATTACACAATGTTTATTTGCATTAACTCACTTTTGTGTTTTATAACTCTGCTCTGGCTGTTGGAAAATGTTCAATTCCCTTAAGAGCACAGGCTTCCAACACAGTGGGCATCATTAGCCTTATTAAGGCAAATATAAGTTAAATGCAATGAATTAGCCTAGAGAGTAGAGAACTTATTAATATTCAAACCCTATAGATAATGCCTAGCATAGAACATTATAAGTAATAGATGCCAAATAAATATGTATTAAATTGAATGAAACTGAAAAGCAGGGGGAAGGTTGTTGGGTTATCAAAGTGCATTATGGACTAGAGCAGTGCTTTTCAACTGTTGTGCTGCCAGAATTTTTAAAACATGCAATCCCAGACTATTTTAGTCAGGGGCACTGACCTCCTCCCCTTAAATTGTCCAAAAAAAAAAAAAAAAGCCAACAGCTAACACAACAGTGGCCATCTGGTGTGAATGAATCAAAATAATACCTAGTGTGTTGTTGTTTTTTGTCAGATTGGTAACAAATATATTTTGGGGTATGCTGCAGAATTTTAGTAATTAGTTTATGTGTGCCATGAGGTGAAAAAGGTTGATAGCTGCTGGACCAGAGGCTTCATTGCTGTGTCCTACTTTCTCATTTCTGAAATCAACACTTAAATTACATTTAAAAAATTATGTGAAACAAGAAAAATGCTGACTTTCTCTGATGTTCATTCAATTATTCATTCAGCTAGTATTTATTGAACATCATGTGCTAGGCACTGTCCCAGGTTCTGAATATTTTATTTTTATTTTTTAATTGAATTTATTCAGGTGACATTGGTTCACAAAACCATACCGGTTTCAAGTGCACAACTCAATAAAACATCATTTGCACACTGCATCGTGTCCCCATTGCGCCAAGCAAAGTCTCTTTCAGTCCCCATTTCCCCGCCTTTGCCCACCTCCACACACCCCACCCTCCTTTCCCTCTGGCTAGCACCACACTGTTTTCTGTGTCTATGTGTTATGTATACACGTGTTTTTCTAATGCCTTCACCTTCTTTCATCCAGTCCCCCCATCCTGCTTCCCCTCTGACATCTGTCAGTCTGTATCCATGCCTCTGCTTCTATTTTGGTCATCAGTTTATTTTGTTCATTAGATTTAACATCTGAGTGAGATCATATGGTATTTATCTTTTGCTGACTGGCTTATTTCACATAGCATAATAATCTCTAGATCCATCCATGCTGTCACAAAGGGTAAGATTTCCTTCTTCTATATGGCCAAGTAGGATTCCATTGTGTAAATGTATCACAGTTTTCTTATCCCCTCATCTACTGATGGGCACTTGGGCTAGTTCCAGATCTTGGCTATTGTAAATACCACTGCAATGAGCATGAATGCTATGTTTTAAACAATAGTGTATAATACTGAGAATCCCAATTGATTCTAAACCAACTAAAAGTTCCTGATGTGAGAGTTTAATGAGCTGTTGCTCAGAGTTTGCTATGAACACTTCACTGAATGTGGTTGCCTGATTTTTTTAAATACCACTAATCATATAATGTCGATTCTCTTAATACCACCATTACAAAACCTGCACCTCCCCATCCAGAATCTTAAAGCTATGGAGTAATAGTGAAGAAACACAGTGTGGTTGGTAGAAAGAATTAATAGACTGGGAATTCACAAATTAGCCTCTGAAGTGGTGTTACCTCTGTCAAGAAACTGAATTCTGCAGAATCAGTTTCCTTAGCTATTTAATAAGATGAATTAGAAAAATGCTAAGGCCAATTTTAAGTCTGATATTCTATAATCTTTAATTAATTAAGATCCAGATAATTCTAAATACTGGGAGGAAGATAAACTCTACATTATTTGTTTGGGGCCAATTCCTATTAGTGATACAACAACCCCCCCCCTTTTTTTTTGTATTGTGACACCAATACATCTACTATATACATAAACCTGTATGTATAATTATTACTTTAAAAGTGGTCACCAAAGTACCATTGTACTCAACCCTACAGGTTTTGCCGAGTATACTTGCTTTTGCTACCGCATGAACTTCCCTTCCCTTTGTACATTTTCTTTACAGACAGCAGAGCCATTGAAAAGGATGGAGTTGGGAATGGCAGTGGCTAGTGCATATTTATGTTATGGCCAAAACTTAATTTTTATTTTTCAAGTTAAAAGGCTTCAAACTTCAAGGAGTTTAGTTTGTCATAGTTGGAATTTAGATAGCTCCTCCGGCTAACGTTGGGCATGAAAAAAGGTAGCAAACAAGGGGAAGAACGTTTAAGCCCTAGGGGAGAAAAATAACGAAAGCTTTTAAAAAAAATTGCTTGTTTTTTACAATTCAAATAAAAAGAATACTGCAATGCAGAAAGAGCTAGATCAGGGAATGGCGCTGAATAGGACACCTTGGAGCCTTGTGTCTACAAGTATTTGGGAACCTGGAACCGCAGGAGGCCCAATTTCTTGCTTCCAGAAGGACTGGATGAATGAGAAAGGGAGTCTATTTCCGCTTTAGTAGCTTTAAAATATATTCTGCAGGTAGTGACCAATCCAACTCCCCTGACTCACAGAAAAAACACACACAAAACAACTCAATTAATAAATGTAAAATGTTGAGATATTGACGCCTTTCAAAAAAGGATGCACACATTTGTTATCAAAAGTATTTCATTAGGAGCCAAAGATCTGAACTATCACAGAATCCCTCTCAGGAAGTTCAGTACCGTTTGCTGCCCACGTCGTAGGTCAGGGTTGGTCTTCAGCACCAGCCGGCACCCCGCGCGCCCAGTGCGCCTCGGGTCAAGGGCTGCGGCTCCCAGGGCGCGCGCCCGGGCCTGAGGCGGGGAGTGCGGGGCGGGTCCTGGCAGCACCCAATCAGCAGCGGAGCCGGCGGTGGCGCTAGTGACGCAGCTGCGCTTCCCTCCGCCCCTCTGCGGGCCGCTCCCGGCGCTGTCGGCCTCGCGAGCTTCGCGCGGGGAGGGGAAGGAGGAGGACTCCGGGCCGGCCGGGTGTCCGAGGG